AAAGTGGTCTTCATTCAAACAGCTATCTATTACTGATCGAACAGGAAGCATTATATACAAATGGCTGGACAAAATTCCAAAAAAGATATAACAGCTTCGGCGTCTACCATACAACAAAGACGCCGCATGATTGAAAATTACATGGTCATTTGGGTAGACGGTAACATTGATATGGCAAATGAAGATTGCCAAAATACGCTTGCGCAATTGCGCGGTGTCGTTAATGAAGTGAACGAATGTACCACAGCCGAACAATGTATTGCGAAGCTCCAAGAAAACAGTGAGGAGACATCATTTGTTATCTCCTCTGGTTACCTTGGCCAACATCTCGTACCAGAAATTCATGGCATGCCAAAATTAGATGCCATATATATCTTCTGCGGCAACAAACAACGCCATCAAGAGTGGGCCAAACATTGGCCAAAAATTAAAGGCGTTCATACGTCAATCAAAAGTATCTGTGAAAACCTGGCAGTAGCCGTCAAACAATGTAATCAAGATCAGGTAACTGTTAGTATTATTGGCGTGAATGAAGGAGGTTCTAGCGAAGATCTCAATCGGCTAGAACCATCCTTCATGTATACTCAAATATTCAAGGAAATTCTCCTTGATATGGATCATGGCCAACAAGCCATTCAAGATTTGGTCACGTTCTGCCAAGAACAATATAAAGGTAATAAAACAGAACTCAAAGTTATCGATGAATTTCAGCGTACTTATCAACCAGCATTGGCGATATGGTGGTATACACGCCAATGCTTTACGTTCAAAATGCTTAATCGGGCATTAAGAACTCTTGATGGTGATATTATTATCCGAATGGGATTTTATTTATGTGATGTCCACAGACAAATTGAAGATTTACATAGAAAACAAATCAATGAATATCATGGTAAGACCTTTCCACTTTATCGGGGGCAGGGATTATTGACGGCAGATTTCGTAAAAATCGCTACAAACAAAGGTGGACTTATTTCGTTTAATAACTTTTTATCTACCAGTAAAAATCGATATGTCTCTCATTTTTTCGCCGAAAGTAATTTAGGAGCACCCAATGTCGTCGGTGTTCTTTTTCATATTATCATTGATCCCACAGAGTCCTCAACTCCATTCGCCTCGATTCGAGAGTTGAGTGAGTTCGCACAAGAAGACGAAATTCTTTTCTCAATGCACGCAGTTTTTCGAATTGGTGACGTTCGAAAAATTGACAAGAAAAGTCCACTTTATGAAGTGGACCTTAAACTTACAGCAGATGATGATCAACAACTACGTCAATTAACCAAACATATAGCAGAAGAGATTGGTGGCGATGGATGGTATGGAATGGGCAAATTGCTGCTCCAAATAGGTCAATTCGACAAGGCCGAAGAGTTGTATACCGCATTACTAGAACAGGCATCAGATGACAGCGCTAAAGCACATATCTATCATATGCTTGGAGGGTTGAAATGGAACCTAGGACAACACAAAGAAGCAGTTTCATATTATGAGACATGTCTCAAAATTAAACGAAAAACTCTCCCAGAAGATCATCCTTCATTCGCTGCTACCTACAACAATATCGGTCTCGCATATAACTACTTGGGTGAATACCCGAAAGCACTTGAATTTTACGAAAAAACAATTAAAATAAAAGAAAAGGTCTTATCTCCGAATGACCCCGATTTGGCTTCTTCCTACAACAACATCGGTCAAGTGTATAACGACATGGGTGACTACTCGAAAGCACTTGAATTTTACGAAAAAGCACATAAAATAGAAGAAAAAGCTCTGCCTCCGAATCATCCCGATTTGGCTACTTCCTACAACAACATCGGTGGAGTGTATAACGATATGGGTGATTACTCAAAAGCACTGGAATTTTATGAAAAAGCACTCAAAATAGGAGAAAAAGCTCTGCCTCCAAATCATCCCGATTTGGCTATTTCCTACAACGACATCGGTACAGTGTATAACAGAATGGGTGACTACTCGAAAGCACTGGATTTTTACGAAAAAGCACATAAAATAAGAGAAAAAGCTCTGCCTTCGAATCATCCCGATTTGGCTATTTCCCATGGGTGGATCGGTACAGTGTATAACGACATGGGTGATTACTCGAAAGCACTGGAATTTTATGAAAAAGCACTCAAAATAAGAGAAAAAGCTCTGCCTCCAAATCATCCCAATTTGGCTACTTCTTACTCCTGTATAGGTGGAGTCTACAACACCATGGGTGACTACTCGAAAGCACTGGAATTTTACGAAAAAGATCTACAAATCATAAAAAAAGCTCTGCCTCCGAATCATCCCGATTTGGCTTCTTCTTACTCCTGTATCGGCGGAGTCTACAGCACCATGGGTGACTACTCGAAAGCACTTGTATCTCTCAAAAAATCCCTTGAAATAAAACAAACATCTCTGCCTCCGAATCATCCTGATTTGGCTACTACGTACAACTGGTTCGGAAAGAATTATCGCGGTATGAAAGATTATCCAAGAGCACTTGAGAATTTCGAAAAGTGCCTCTCAATATGGCAAAAAGCATTACCGGAAGGACATCCTCATCTAGCTATTACACACAGTAATATTGGTGATGTTCATCGATTAATGGGAGATTATGAAAAGGCATTGTTATTTCATAAAAAAGCATTAAATATTCAAGAAAATGTTCAATGTAATCCTCTACAATGTGCATTGACATACATAAATTTAGGTGAAACTTATCGAGAAATGAAAGATTATACAACAGCATTGACATATTTTCAAAAAGGATTAGAAATACGTCAGAAGAAATTACCAAAA